TCTTGCTTGTTTCTTTTCGCCAGCTCAGTGGAAAGTTATGTAGCTTAGCGCATTAACATCTCCTTCTCGCTCATTATCTTGTCTCCATAACGACCGACGCATATTCACTAAGGCACGTTGTGTTTCGCGTCGGCTTTCGGTCGATTTTGTGTCATCTTGTGGAGTTTGACTCTTGTCCTCCTGTGCCGATGTCCTTCAGCGTCGACCGACTCAGCAGGAATTCATCCTCGTCACCATCCAATACTAGACAGGACACACGAGTGAGGTGCACAGACCTGCTGCATTGCCGATGCGCACGTCAATTTTAACCGAGTTCCTGCACTCCAAAGTGGTGCCTCCGGCCACCTTTACCACAGTGGGAGGCTTCATTACCACACTGCTGTCCAGTGTACACAATTCCTTCACCATGCCACGCGTTAGAACGTTGCTGCCTGCACCAGCGTCCGCGCACAAAGGCACCTCCATGACTCCATTGATTGTTGCAGTATGCCCACTTACTCTACCCGTAGCGATATGCCTGAGTCTTTCCGTCCTTCGCGCAGCCCAAGCCCAACGCGCCTCTTCCTTCTGCTCTGTTGTAGTAGTGGTACATTCCGCGACACGATGCGGACCCTTGCATACAAAGCAGCCATCCCTTGGTGGCCGCCGAGAGGCTCTCTTCTTCACTGCAGTCGTTTTGCTCACTTTTGAAGCGTCTCTTGTTTTCTCACCTTGACGAGTACTATCATTTTGGCTCCTCTTGACCTTGTCGCTGACATGAATACCCTGTTTGGACTCAGCCTGCATTAGGTGATAATGCGACTGACGAACCGCCCTCTCGACAATTAGATCGTACAAGATAACATCGTTCGTCTTTGCTTCACGATGGGTCATGCCCACCAACCGCTCCACGTCCACTCGCAGCACATCCGGCAGAAGGTTAGTTATCAGCAACTTGCAGCGAGGTTTCATTCGTTGTCTACCAGCAACGTCTGAGACAATACCTCGACCCATCCATGTAGACAAATCTTGACCCTCGACCAATCTGTCAAAGTCCATGAAGTACTTTGACACGCGAGCCTCGATGTCGGCCTCCTTCAGGTCCATCTTCAGCTCCTCGGCAAACAGCTTCTCCCCATCCGGCACATGATCATTCATCATGTTACCGGCCTTCCTCTCCATCTCGCGTTCCAGTGCCTCTTTCGTCACATCCGCGACTGGGATCCGCAGCACATAGTGTGCGAGATGCTCAAGGATCCGAGGCTCAACAGAGCTCTTGATGCTAAACCTCACATTCTCTTGGTCTTCGCCGGTGACCATACATCGCTCTCGAACCTTGCTCAAATACTGACGACGGCCTCGTAGGAATATGACCAACACTGGTTGGCTTCATGCGGTCAATTTGGGCGCTTTGGTGAGCTCGAAGATCGGCTGGGGGACGGTTATCTCGGCGTCTCCGTCTTGATCCACAGCGCCGAAACCAGCCATCGTCGTCTTGGGTAGGTATTGTTAGCAACGTAGCCAACTAAGCGCTTGAAAGTAGATTGCGAAGTGAGTTCACTAAAAGCAGACGATTCTTGTTCCTACTTCCTACTCTTCATTGGCGGCGTGCTTCGTGGCAGCACTCGCCACCAACCGTTGTTCCTTGATTTTTAAATGACGCTGTTGACGTGGCACACATATAGTTGTCGTAGCTCGTTGATCGTCATTGGACATGATGATGCGGCGGCCGGCTGTAGAACCAGTGCCTCCAGCGCTACACTATCTCACTTAACCAATATGACGGCAAGCGACATCTCTCTTTCCCCCTGCTGGTAGTATCGCGTGCTGGTTCTTGTTGTTTGTGTCACTGTATCTCCTTCCGCTGCGTGGCGACACTCGCTTCGAAATTCGCGGAAAAGGTGGTGGGCTTGCAGCTAACGTGACGGTGGAAAAATATGCGGACGCCCTACAGAATATACACAACGTTAACATGTCCGAAAGCCTCGAGCCTCTAAGCAAATGCTCGCTCAAGCGATACGAATTCAAATACGAGTCGGTAGCCGGTCACACTACTCTTTTAGGCGTGCTAGGTCCCGAATTACGTGTGGTGTAGCAGGATCAGCAAAATCTGCGAGATTGCTGGATCCAGCTTACCCACAGCACCCAGACACCGACTGGGCCCCCCTATGATCCGTGATCTGCTGAACTTTCCTCACATTGTGTACCCGTCGGTAGGGCGAGATCTTGCTCTCTCGGTAACTTTCGAAGCGTTCAAGTGGTGAAGCTTGAGTGTCTTGGCGAGACGTGGGGATAAGGTGGAGCAGTAGTGGTAAGATCTCCACTCTGCGTCCGTAGATGTTTCTGGATCCTAAGCGAGTAGTGGATCCAGGGCCTAGATCTGGGATCTGGCTGTAGGGTTGTCTTGCGGGTGCATTTTCTTGCCTTTGTTTTCCTTTTCGTCGTACTTGCCGCCTCCTGTGACGGGATCTTGAGAGTGGAGAGCCTCTTAGGTACACCTGGCCAAGTAGTAAATCCGGTTAACCTTTCGGATCTGCACGTGTAAAGGAAAGCTCACTAGGCTGTAGGATCTGGCCAATGTATTATCCAGTTATACTATCAACACCAGTTTCGCAATTCCCAACCTTCACCGAGCTCGTACGGCCAATGCAGTTCCGATTCTTGAGGGCATGAGGGCACTTGCGTGATACTGTGCAAATTGAGAGCTGTAATGATAATTAAGCCTATACCTGCCTGGATTTCTACCTTCTATGTCTTTTACCTGCCAAATCTCCTACCAGGATCGGCTACATGTCCCTTTTCTCATTGGCCCATCATCCCAGCTGTATTATCATCAGATCCACCGGATCCATGGCGTAATCATTATGGTCGTCACATCATGGGTACAATTGTCTGGATCCAGGTTTCCTTGATCCACCTCACTACAAGTGTACGCTCTTCATAGATCTGAGCTCTTCAATCTTCCAACATCGTCTTACGACCGTCTGTTATCTTCATCACTCCACGAAAGCTCGCGATTCGTTATATCCAACATCCCCATATCCTGGATTCAAGTCGCTCCGTGTGGGTGTGGGATCTCACCCTCTTGGATCCGGACTCGGAAGTGTGGGATCTGAGACATATTGTGGTGGATCTTGCCTTCTCGTTTGTCGTTGATACCAGATCAACCTTCGGATACCACCTACATCCTTCATTCATAGGATCCCCACTTGATCCACCTGCACATGGTATATTCCATACCCCTAGATGTAATCAGGTAAGGATGGATCCGAGTCTCCACTTGGTGGATCCTGCCTCCCCCTACGTTATCCATACCAGATCCATCGTCGACCCATACAGGATGCCACTTCATCTTGGCCAATCCACTTCGAGCAGTGGATCCATGCCGGGCGATCCAGATCCTCCCTAACCACTTGGTGTTGTCACTAATCTTGGATAGTGACCACTTGTCAGATCTATTCTCTTATGTATGAGAAAGCACTTCACCGTATACGCTCTGTGACCCCTGATGCAGTCCAAGTACTACCCGAGCGCTTCGTGTTTAATCGAGATGGTCGAGGCAAGATCGCACTGCAAGATTTCCAGGTGGTGGACAAGGACGCTCTCTAGATACACAACCAGTATATTTCCTGGATCTGCGGCAAAAAAATAGCGTAGGGCAGATCTGTATAAACAAAGAAAAATAAGTGCAGCTTGAACATTACAAAATAATATATCAGTGCATTAATTGAACATGTTTCCACTTCCTCATCGTCGAGAGTCCTCGTGCATATAAGGCTTCTTTATTCCAATTAGATTAAAATCCAAACAGAAGGCTACATTTACCTGTATGCTCACCATTTCGTACATGCATCCGCCGACGGTAGTAACGTCCCAGTACTTATTGTCCTTGAGAAACAAGATCATTATGTGCTACACACAAAACCCGTAAATACAGGGATAAATATAGTAAAATGAATGTGAAACTACAACAGAGTATTAACATCTGCATCGCGCACAATACAACAATCCTGCTATCGTCTGGCAAAAAAAATATGGCCAAGGATAGAGGCACCAAACAAGAAGGCGTAAAATATTATAAGTTGGGGCACCAAACAGCTTAACATGTAAAACACAAACCCCTAGACACTAAACAGGGCACGAAACCCAGAACTTAATGTATAATTTAAAGTGGGTGACTAAAAGTTTTTACTACAAAGGGATGGATGTCATGTCGCACAAATCCTGAAAGCCAGCTTTAGCGGCGGCAACATTATCACCATAGTAGCGCTCTTGTACAGTATTAATAGCGCTAGGGCACTTATTAAATAGTGTGCAACGTGCTGTCGCATCATCATGGACCATGATGATAGACCGACAACAACAAGCAACCGCGAAGACCGCATCATCACCTCGACTGCTTAATCTACATATGTGCCCCGTCAACAGCGACATTCATAATCCAGAAACAATGACTGGTGGCGAGTGCTGTCACGAAGCACGGCGTCAGGGAAGGCAGGAAAAGTAGGAAGTAGGAACGAGAATCGTTTGCTTTAAATGGACTCACTTCGGAATCTACTTTTAAGCGCTTTGTTGGCTGCAGCTCTGCATGATCAAGGGAGCACCTGAGTATAACTAGTTAGATCATGCTCAAGACAAGCTCTGAAGCGTTTACACTTTAAAGAACTAGCACGAATTCATTAAACTCCGTTTCGTATGAGCTGCATCACTCCCTCCATTTACACCCTAGCCCTATTTGGTGCCTTAATCCAGTTCCAATTTTATCCTCCTATTATATAATTACCATTACTCAGAAGTAAACCAATCCTCAATGATAAACAATACTTAAGTACAGTAATAAGGTCTCTCCCAAATAAATGATTCATGGAGCACCTTCGGTAGTTGATATCTAAACTTTTATAGATATATATGGGATATGGTCTATACAGAATACTGTAGTCTACATTTGTTCACAGCCTCTTCTTGGGCGTCATCGTGTGATCCATGATGTTTACAAATCTGAAGGTCTGGATCCCGTCAATATGCCAGTTTCGAATTTGACGAGAAGCAAACAAGACCAAGCAGCAGCGATGAATATCAAGACGTATTTTGTCGCCGTCATTGGCGTTGTGGCTACTACCTTCACCGCAGCCCAAGAGCTGAGGGTCTGTCGGCCAGCCTGTGGAGGAGGAGGCGTCTACTCCGAACTGAACGTGAACATCGCCGTTTGCTGCCAGGAGAAGGGTCATCTAAGTAATGAGGCCTTTGACAAGTGCTGCGCTTCGAGCTGTGAGAGCGGCAATCCCTGCTCGAACATTACTGAGCCGTCTGATGAACCGTATGTTGGTGTTTAGTCGCGCTCTTTTTTTCCTTTTAGGAAAGAACCGTCCCCAAGTGAGTTGATGCGCTGTGCAAATACTTGGAAAAGTGATGCTAATGCTCGGACACTCCCCAATGTAAATTCACGAATAGATCAGGAAGACTTAACGAATACCTTAGCTAGATACCTCGGTACCAGAAACAAGAAAAGACAAACCCTACAAAAATCTCGCTGTTAATAATGTAGCAGCTAGAATTTACTCCCGACTCAATCTCTCGCCTTTTTTGTTCCAAACCGACTTGTTGCCGGAATACTTGTCGACACAGCATCCACCGCAAAGACTCACCAGGTCAAATTATCCATCGGGTATCATGATGTAGAAAACATCACCTTCCGCTTCTTCGAAAGCACCTTTACTAAAGGCTTTAGTCCCTTGGTACAGTCTTTAATCGATTGCGGTCTGCGTCCTCTGTCTGCTCTAGGGAAAATGGTGTGTATGCCCTTGGCCACGTCCGACGTGTACCAGAACACTGAGATCATTCGATCCGTTGTCGATAGATCCCAGCACGTGAGGTGAGTTCTTGTTAGGAAAATGGTCTCTTTTTAATGAGGAAGCTATCCTTACAATTATGGAAGGCGTTAGAAACATATTAGGCTGGGTTTTAAGTAAAAATGAATAACTAGACCATTTGTTTTTTAGCTTTTCAGATAGGCGCGATAGCGCCCCAAATCAACGAAGGCAAGAGCGCGATATTTGCGAAGGCGGGCCCTGCGCCAAGCTCCCCAACGAGCCGTTCATGACTCTCCACTACATCATACTACAACACCACGAGCGAAGAGGCACAACGGGTGGTAACCTTAATAGTTTACGTTTTTTTGGACCCAAGCATTTCCAGTTTTATCAACATTTCAATTGCTGACGAGCGACTGTCCGACAATCAAATTCGCTACTCGCATCGCTCTGAAGAGTAAGTTAATTTGCCTTTCGGCAAGGAGAAGTCGGTAAAACGCGGCATACAGTATTCAGCAGATACATCCATCTCTTTAAAAATAATAAGCAGGACAAAGACTGTTGATAAATTGAAACTAATTGTGGATCTCAAAGCTAAAGGTCCAACAGAGATTACACCGGGAAAGCTGAGCATTTTGAGGACATATGCATGGGAATAACCTTTGCAAAATGGTACGCGATTTCGTATTACTTTTTTGTGGACGAAATTGCACTGGAGACAATAATTGGAGCAGGCGCCGTATACCTCGTGTTGCGGTCCGTTGAGACGAAACGGTACGTCACATAATGGTGGAGTATGTGCAATATAGCGTTTCAAGTATTTTATTGTTCTGTTTAGCAAGGTAGCTCGTTTTACTGTACAACATCTTCATTTACATTGGTAAAAAGGTGTTTACTGTTTAATAATTTTCAGTAAAAAAGCGGTTTTCCTGGCAAAAATCGCAAAGACCGATTTGCACAAAATTCGCCACACAAATTTCAAACCAAATTGCATAAAACAATTAGTAAATTAGAGCAAAACGTACTTTGACACCCTTGACGGATTTGGTAGTGTTCAGTGTGAACAACAGCTATCGATAGAGAAGTTGGCCTTCTATTTGGTTTAGTTTTTCTTTTCTATAGAAGCCTGATATGCATTACGACGATCAAGCAGAGTGATCGTCTTTCGTATTGTTTCATCCGTGGCTGAGTCTCTTCGTGGACCGCTCGCCTCTGTCTCTAGGAAGACACTCATTGGGTCATTGTTGCGTTTCTCTTTTGAGAAGAAATATCTCTTTGTTTCTTTCCTCCTAGCGAGCATCTTCGCCACTCGCAGGGAATTGTGTGTTGGCTTGACCCATTGGACACATAAAACAGGTCTAGTTGTTCTGTGTTTGATCGATCTCCTTCTTGAAAGCTGTGTTCGACTGAAGGTGGTTTCTCCAGACTATCTACTTGTAGAAAAACGGTACTAGTTTCATCGTTCATAGCTATGGCTGTGCCTTGCTTCAATCGAACATTTCCATAGTTGTTGTGTAATTATTGTGCAAGAAACAGGACGCTTCCCGGTGCGGTCAACTTCCATTCTCCCCCCTTTCTAAACGGTAGGTCAACCATCCTCCTCCTTAAAGGGAGCTTTGCTTATGGGACAGTTGCCGCCATACCGAGAAATCTGTGTGTGTGGCCTCCTGAATTGAAAGTTTCATTACTGCATGGCACGCTTCTGAAGAATATTCGTGTATACTTCTTTCAGGTTGCGATTTCCACGCGCTGGCAACAGCCATGACTTGCAAAGTTCATGCTGCCCATATGATGGACGCTATTTCCTTTATGTTGGAAGGGAGTTAATTGAAGACATGTCGATTGCGTAGTCTCCATTATAGCGTTGGTGTTATCGTGGACCATATAATCCACAATGTCTTCATAGCGACTTCATGTTGCGGTGTCCATTTACTTATGCATTGCTAAGCGTTTGCAAGAAATTCTTTCGTAATCGCGGGCGGTTGGCTGGCGGCTGCGAATGGTTGTAGTGTTGATCTTTCACGTATTGACGAATCTCTAGCTAATCAATGGTCCATCCAGTGTTTCCATACTCCTTGAGCTTTATCACACTCCCCAATGGTATGGTCGATTGTTTCGTTTATTGATGAGCAAGTGGGTTCGGGGCATTTTTTGCATTGGGGTCATCATTCATAAAACAGATTGAGAGCTCCAATCGCTATCCGATATATTGTCCAGTTTTGGTAGTCCGTAAAGAGTCCATTCCGTTTCCATAGCTGATTTGTTGTTTGCGATATAGCATTCTGTTGCCATACTGAGTTTATCTGATGGCTTTGAATCTTTTGGATTGCCGCGCGTTAATTAGGATTCTGCATGCGCTTGATCTACTTGGAAAGTTACTTTCTAACCATTTTCCGCGCTGAAGCTCTTTTGCAATTCAAGGGGCCGTCCACGGATATTTTACAGCTTGAGGGTGAGCCTTCAAGGCTATCCCTTTCCGTTTTTTCTACGCTCTCCATGTCAAAACGTCATTAGTTTGTTTGAAGACATCCGTAGCATAACTAATAAACCAGGTCCATCCCATATTTCTGAGTGTAACCCTCATTAAAGCTCAAGTTTGCTATCTGTTATTTTTATGTTGCCTCCACACATTCCGAGCCTATTGCCTCCCATTGAAGTTCCTCATTCACTCCCGGTGACGCGAATATTTGCAAGAGTGTAGGTGAGACCAAAAGATCCACGGAAAACTGAGGAGTAAGCTTCTGCACCATCTAAGTATCTGCTAGCTTTGGCGTATAATTGTTTTGATCGGCGGCTTTATTTGAATCCGGTACGGGTCGGCTCCAAGGCAATATATACAAAAATGTCACTCAGTCTTTGGGAGAGTAATGCTGGGAAATCCTTTTGTCTAATTGGCTTTCCTTGAACGTCGAGTATCGTTGCATTATTGTGCCAAGTGGAGTTTTGATGTAAGGGTACCACATTATCTGATAGATCCGCCGTGTTAACATCTGATGACGTAAATTTCATCATATCTTCTTTCACCCAAAAACATGCGCTTTGCTTAGCCCCCTGTCTCAGTCGCTGTTTGTGTAATGGGCCCAACTCCAATTACATAAGTAGGTAGATATTTCTTTAGTTATTACATAAGTAGGTAAAGTGGCGCACGGGTAGCGTGTGCCAAGGTGTCATGACCGGATTGGTTGATAGTGAGGAGCCAGACTCACTAATTGACCAATCAGGTGTAGACATGTGTTTGAGTGGTTCACACGAGGCCAGGGGTAGCCGCCCTGGTCCTAAATAAATCAGAGCACAAATCTAAGACTTGGTTTTTTTATTGCGAGCTTCCTCCGCCCTATAGTGTAAGTGACGGCATCTCTTACCCCGTTACAGTTTGATATTATCATGCTGCGCTAAAGTTGGAACAATACTTGCTGAGTGTGCCCACGACAGCTCGAGCAGTCCCACTTTCTATGCTGTTGCTTGCGGGGATCCCATGAATCTCTCTTATAAAGCGCTTGACCATTTTCAAACTTGTAGGCTGAAAGAAACAGCATTCCGACGTCATAGTTTGTCCTGTGTGTATCGCCTGATGTCATGCTGCTGCGTAATTGTCTTTTGCCTCGGTAGCCAACGTTCAGCTAAGTTAGCTCGGGTTGCTTGTAGCGCTGCATCCCATTTCTTGTAGTCCGAGGCCTCCGTGTGCCCTTGGCGTGAACAAAAGCGCTGGGTTTTACTTGTGTTTTGTTGCTGTTGTACTTGCTAATCCATACCAGATAAATTATTTTTGTAGGTTTTCCAGTCGACGTAATATAGCTTTTGAAGGAACAAACCGCTTTGCCGTATACAAAATTGACGGCTGTGCAACCACATTAAATTCTAAAATTCTTTGTGCTACCGAATTGCTGATGGTCGCCACGATTCTCAGTCGTCGTTGTATTTTATTCTATTCGTATTTCCCGGTTTTCTACCGCAGTTGCTGCATTCCCAACCCAGTAACCGAGCTGTCTAGACGTCGTTTTAGGGTGTAGAACTGGGAATCCATTTCATTTCGCTGGTGGTTTATCAGTGTCCAGGCCAATCAGTATACTCTTTTGCTGTTGTACTCTCAATCCCGATACATTTCTGAAGTCGTCTAGGACTCACTTCACTATACCTAGCTCCTTGAGAGTTCTAAATGGGAAATTTCAAGCAACGGGTGAAAATTGCTTTTTTAGTTGAGGTAACAAAAGATGAAACCAACGTAGGAGACCACAGGAGCGAGCGGCCGTAGTTAGTTTCAGAATTTCCTCATCGCGCCTTACGCCCTCTTGCTTCCGCCCTTCAGCCTCTAGCACTCCGGAGAATGATTCGCCTTGCAGCTCGGTCCTACCTGCAGCTACTCCTGCTTCGCGCATAGAGGATGTCGTAGAAGCAGCAAAAGTGTACCTCACCTATTGCCGAGAATACTGCTGCTCAGAGTTGATCGAACTGGTCGAACACATCGTTGGGTTTATAGAAGAAGCACTCATGAGAGTTAGCCGGAGTCAAAAACAGCTGTCGACACTTGTTTACTGGGTAAACGATGTTTTAGAGGATTTTAGAAGTGTTGCAGAAAGCGATGGTGACTTAAGGCAAGTGATGAGACGCTGCTCAACGGATGACAGGCTTCTGAGGGATCGGATGTTCGTGAAAGCACAGCAACACGTCAGCGAGATCAAGAACGAGAGATTAACGGATGAAGCTCGAACAGGGGGGGCGAAGCGCGCACCAACTTACCAGTTTACTCCTCGGCAGGACGGTAAAAGACGTCTCGGTCGGATATCGAGGGACGTGCTGCGCCAACTTCCAGTACAAACCGAGCCTGGCTCGGGCAAGTCTAAGAGTCTGTGTATGCGCTACCTTTCAAAGGCAGGCTGTGCACCCGACGCAAATGGCACGTGCCCCAGTGATCATGGTCATTTTGTTCCAAATAAGCTGTGAAAAAAGCGATTACTAGACGGTTTGGTGGCTTGAAAGAGGAGCACCGACAATTATGACTATCCAAGATCAGCGGGGCAGTACGGCCAGCTTTTCAGCTCAAGTTTGTGGCAGCGGCCCGAAATCGACCTGAGAAGAAGCAGAAATTGGTATTCTCACGCCTTAACTCGGACGCTACACAAGTGAATGGTGTGTTGAGTAACGACCGATTCACTGCGGTGGATGTGTACCCCAAGTCTGCATCGGACAAGGTATTATCAAGTCTGCACCCAAAGAGGACTGCTAGCGTCAACGCAGTATCAGAGAACAAGCAATGCAAAATTGGTAAAACGATGGTGTCAGCAAAGCGCAAGGGTGACAAAGTACGCTGTCTCAAAGTAGCGGGTCATGGAGAATCCGCTTTACCCCAGAACGAGATACTTAAGCGAGATACAAGTACTAGTCACCAGATGCCTTGTAGACATCCAACTATTGGAGCAAAGAGCACGACTGGCATGGTTCCCTGTCCCGAGAGATCGCTTTGTAAGGCCGGACAGGCAACACCGGTAGGGACGGCGAAAAAGGGTACAAGCGGTTGCCGGTCAAGACCTTGTTACAACGAAGTGTCACATGTCCGTGGCATACAGCACCAAATGCCGCCATATATTAACGGTAGACAGTTTAGTCTATCGTTGATGTCGGCACAGAAAATCAAACACGCATGGGAGGAAGAATTACTCGCCGATGAAGCCCGAATATCAATTACACATCGTGGAATGGGATTTGTCCGCGCAAAACAGCTCGAGATTTCGCCGTACGAGATCGACAATGCAGCGTGTAAGTCGCTCTCCCATTTGGTTCGCACACGCAACATGAGAGTCGAAGAAGCAACACAATTTATCCGTGGCGAACACGACAATGACAGAAGGCCGAACAAAGCTATTGACCCAGAACGACTACATCGCGTACTCAGAGGTTATCCACCTCTCGATGAACTAACTAAAATTGCAGAGGTCGGCACCGATGTAGAGTGGCGTCAAGGACCGATGAAGAATCGTCCACCTCCTAAGAATCACGGTTCGTGTCGTCGTTATTTGCGCGCGGTGACCAGGTCAATTCGCGAAGGCCAAGACGCTGGTCAGTATATGGTTGTGGAGGCCGAAACCCTCGACCGATGGTCTGAAATTACCTGCAGTTCTTTAGGGGCTGTGGTAAAGAAGGGTGGAGATCCGAACGAGGAAGTTTGCACTATTCATGACTTATCATTTCAGAAGAACGACTCGGTAAATTCCGCGTTGGTAGCGGATTCGATTCCAAAAGTGCGCTATGAATCGGTCGCGATTATTGCAAGGCGAATTGAGTACTTGGCTACATGCGGTTACACGGAGAGAATTATGATGCTTAACGACGATGTGAAGGGTGCTTTTCGGCATTTACGTACCCGAGCTAACCCGTTTTTTTGTATGGCAGCCTTTATCAAGGAGCTAGAAATTATTATTATCGATCTGGCAGCTCCGTTTGGGTGGTCGGGGTCGCCGGCATGCTACGCGTTATTTGGCCGGGCAATACCATGGCTCATGGGCTCAAATTCACCTGCGTCAGTGCCAGATTCCAAAGACAATGAACCATTTTTCCCTTACGAGTGGGTTGACGACCCTTTTTTAGTGAGGCCCGACGAAGGTGATAGGTTACAGTTAGCAGAAGCAGCACTTCGTCACGCTATGCTAGTTGTTCTTGGACTTCGCTCAATCAATGAGGACAAATTCTCAGCCTGGAGCTCTGAGATAGTAACGCTCGGGTTATTGTGGAACACCGTGCGGCGTACGGTATCAATCCCTAGCGACAAAGTATCTAAAGCACACTGACGCGTACAAGCGATACTTCAGCGAGACACGGCTACGAAAACAGAATTTTACTAGGTCCTCGGGTCTCTTCGACACGTAGCTACATGCTTGCGAGCTGCTTAACCATTTTATCAACGGATTCAATCTCAATGCAACGCAGTGCCACGATTTGGCAAAACACGTCTGTCCGGTGGCACAGCAACCGATTTGCGGTGATTCGGCCCAAATCCTTATGCATGGCTGCCTAGCAGAGCTACCGCTGACGATATTCGGAAGTATAGAGACGATTGCGCCTCACGTTGAGTTGTATATGGATGCGTCCAACGTCGGATTGGCCGTGCTTGATCCTGCGGCTAATGCATTTATTCAGATACAATTTGATGCCAAAGAACTATTGATGATTAACGAGCTACACAAATCTGGATTTTCTATCAATGTCCGTGAGCATTTGTGTATTGCTCTTGCGTTATGGACTTGGGGTGCGAAATGGTGCCGATTAGCCAAAGGGAAGCTTTTACTTATAAAATGTTGGAGTGACAATACTTCCGCTGTTGAGTTGTGCAATAAGCTGCATTCTCGGAACTCATTCAGCCAAGAAATTAATAGGTGCATTGGTCTGGCCGAAGTGTACTTTAATTTACGTGTATCCGCCGACCATATCCCAGGATCGACGAATTGGATCGCGTATGCAGCTTCACGAGCTTGGACTGAACCTCATTTAACCAGATGGACTAACTTTTCTTCTTGCTGGACACAGAGCACAGTGCCGCTGCAATGCAGAAGACTCTACATGAACTTCTCGGACAGCTTCAATCCTGCTCATTGGATGCGTCGTCGGCATCGCAGTACAGCAGTACATGGCGACAATGGTGTAAATGGTGCAAGTTGCTTAATGCCCCGAGATGGCTACATGACAGCCCACGAAAACATTCCTACCAACTCGCCTTATTCGCTATTCACTGCTGGAGCTATGGATGGGGACACAGGATCAGGGAATTCTGCCGACACCGTACTCTCGAAAATTAGCCATATCTCGTGGCATCACCGACGGATGCTCGGTTTCAGCGTCGCACTCTTACCAGGACACCAACTTGCAATCACTGGCATGCGGAGGAAGGACAAACCTCGTAGCCCAAAATCTCCTGTCATAACCGATATCCTCAAGAAACTCCACGGGTTCCTCGATTTCAAGTCCGCCCAGCACCGAGTCATTTGGGGGGCTTCGGTGCTGGGTTTCTATTTTCTTCTCAAAAGATCGGAGTATTTAGCCGAAGGAGCAAAAGTGTTGCCGTATGCAATACAGCGGTCAGATATTTCATTTGTGGATTCCGACGAGAGACCGACTGATAATCTACACGAGGTGGTGGCAGTAGTGATTACATTCCGCGGAAGTAAGTCCGACCAGTTTGGCGATGGAAGCAGTCGTAGACTGGAGCGTTTAGGGTATCAATGGTGCTGTCCGGTTTTAGCAGCATGGAATCTTGTTTGGCATCACAAGTCACTCGGTGTTGCGGAAAATACTCTATTGTGCAAGATTAGTGTGGCTACAAATCTGCAAGTCAAAGATGTCGTAAAGGCGCTCAAATGCGCTGCAAGCTAGGCGGGTTACAATCCAGAACGTTTTGAGTCTCACTCACTGCGCAGTGGAGGTGCAACCGCACTCTTTAATGCTGGATTTGATAGTTTGGCGGTCGAGTAATTTGGAAGGTGGAAGTCTGACGCTGTGGAGCGTTATACCCGCATTGGGGGGGGCGGCTAACATCGCGAATGGCAAACGACATGATGAAGAAGCCTGCCTTGTAGCGAACTTTGGGGCATCCTCCACGCCACGCCCTGGCAGCGGAGGCGCAACAATACATGCTTCTTAATGTGTGCCAAGTTGGCACAGCCCCCCGAATCGATGGCGACGACAACTGAAAAAAAGAATTGCTGTCATCCACAAAAGCCGAAGATTCGTGTCAGATATTACCATTACCGGCTACCGGTATCCCCCGTATCCCCGGGTGTCGATTAATTGTTTGACCAAACGTATCTACCGCGATAATAAATAAAAGCGGTGCTTACGGGCATCCTTGTCGAATTTTTGATTTAATTCTCCATTTTTAAAGATAGTTTGCCATTTACGAGATATTGAGCTGTTGTTAATAATTCGGATGAGTTTAAAAAAACTGTCTGAGAATCCGTATGATCCAAGAGCTGCTTGTAGATATTTACGATCCAGTGTGGCATACGCTTTTCGTAGGCCCAGACAGAGTACTGCAGATGCATCGTTCCATTCTATCTCTTCGTTGCTGGTCCTCATGTCCAAAATACTTCTCAATATCGTTACCGTTTTATTGATACTTCTCCCGCGAACAAACCCCTGTTGAGAGACTCTTATCAACTTTGGTAGTACTTTGTGCAGGCGTTCTGCAATTATTCGAGTGGACAGCTTGTACGCTGTATTTAACAAAGCTATAGGGCGGTAATCCATTGCGTCCGACGAATCTCCGTTCTTACGAAGCCGAATCACCGTAGCTGCCAAAAGGATTGGGGTACCCCTGCACCACTCAAAATACCATTGAATAGTTTCGACAAGGTTGGAACTACTAGTGCTGCAAAGGCCTTGTAAATTTTATGAGGCAGACCTGTTGTTTATGGCTCTTCCGAAGCTGGAACGCCAGCCAGGTTTCGTTTTCTGTAATGTGGTTAACATCTCTGCTGCTTCTTTCGGCGAGAGTTGCTGATTTTCAGGCACCTGTAGAAATTGTTCTCATTGCTGTGAATTAGTTTAATTGGCTATCTGCATGAGAGGGCCCAAACACGTGACTCCATGCTGAAGCCATACGCTCTTCGATCGGATATTCTTCGGGATGATCATGTCCAGGCGATGCTTCAATGTTCGAGAGAATTTGATCGCGCCGACATTCGCTATTACGTTTAAAGAATAAGGTTATTTGTTCCGAATTTTTCCGTAGTCAGACGCCGAACGAACGGGCAGCACTTGCTCTAGCAGTTTCAGCATGGTCTTTAAGAATTGTGGCTCGTGATGCTCTTAGGATTTAAGTTTCTTCTCTTATATTCTTGTAAAAGCGATTTGATTGTTGCCCATCTGTCGTTTTTACTTGAACCAGGAGATGCTGAATTTAAGTAATCAATTCGTCGAATCGGGATACAGGTTGATCCAATTGGTTATAACTTCCAATAGAGGTTGGAGACCTTGATCAATCATATC